GGGATTTTTCCAAAAAGGATTTCAAGAATGGCAGCCTTTTGAAGCCTCAGATGTCAAAGCTGCTTCAGATATCACAACATGGCTAGATTGGAGAAAAACCTTTTTTTTCCCTTGCAGAGTGTCTTCTCTGACCTTTTGCCTAGCTTGCCGGTATAGGTAGTCCTGTTTTTACCAGTAACTCTGTGGCTAAGCCTTTGTTCCACTCCCCTCCATTCTGGGTAGCCAATTTGAAACTGACAAAGTGACAGTTTCACACCTTTGGCTTTTGCTGACCTCCTATCCATTCCCCCTGCCTTGGAAGGCTCACTAGCCTTGGGATAATTAACAATTGATGTTTTATTTACATTCCCTGGAGAGGAAGGGATTACAAGAGAGTAAGCAGGCACATTGTGGAACACTGGCAGCTGTGAGCATGCTATGTGGACAGTCCAGTTATTCCCCATTATGTACCCTGCTTACTCTCTTGTAGTCCCTTCTTTCCAATCACTACTCTGCCAGGAGGGAGGGAGTGGGAAAAGACAACCCCTACTGGCAGCAATGGCTATCACATGACCGAGGGATCCACGGGGCGTAAGTGCCATCGTTGGTCCTAATGTGACTTTTTCAACACTGTCATAACTTTGAATGGTTGCTGAGTGAGACAGTCGGTAAGCAAGGACTACCTAGGACTTTTTAAAAGGAGAGGCTGCCTTTCACAGGCTCTTCACCGTCAACTTCCTTGATGTCATTTAGTTCTCTGGCAAGTTCTGCCGTTTGTCACATGGCTTCTAAAGTCACAAGCTTGGTGAAATTGCTGTCTGCAATCATTCCCCCAGGGGGAGAAGCGCTCTCGGTCCCAGGAGGGTGGAGGGTGGTTTTCGGAAACGGTCTGATGAGGGCGAGACCTTGGTCTGCTGCTTCCCGCCTTCCCTGCTACGCAGCCCCCAATCGGCTGCTTGGTAACTCCCGTCCTGACCAGGTTCAGTTTCTTTTTGTAAATGTTCGTTTGCAGGAGTGTGGGTGCTGCCTTCCTCGCTGAGTGACTCCGGGTGCCTCACTGTTGTGTATGAAAACAATCTAAATATTTATTTTCTTCAGGCAAATGTGGTCCCTAACACGTAGCTGAGTAGCTTTAGTTAGCGTGCTTGGAATTGGAATCATTTCGATATTTGTCGGAAATATGACTTCGGTGTTCATACTTCCTTTTGAATGCTTATTGAAAGTGATGTGTGTCCGCTTGTGTGTTTTCAAGGTTGTTCAGGACTTACAAATAAAAACAAACTCCATAGTTGCCATTAGAAGCTCTGTGAAAGTTTCCATACGTTTCACGGCCAAATTTAAGGCAATCTTGAAAACTAAAGACAGCAACTTTTTCTTTTTTTCATTCAAGGGGCAGCCGTTATTCTTTTTCATCGCCTTCTCTTCCTTCCGGAGAGTTTTCAGACCGACAATCTGGAGGGTTATTTTGTTTTATTCTGATTTTGGGGAGCAAAATAGCAGGCTGGGCTTCGATACGTCGTCACGGCAGCTGAGGTGTCGTCCTGCCAGCCATGTGTTGGGGAAAGGCCCGGAGGGGAGGGGGCTGACCTTGCTTTGAGAGGGTCCCGCAAGCCTTTGTGTGGCAGGGGCTGGGGTGGGAAGGGGCGGCCTTGGCGGAGTGGAGGAGCCGGCACAGGTGGCAGCTCCTCTCCTGGGGAAGGGGAGGCGTTAGTCCTTGCGGGGGGGGGGGCTGGAGAGTTGGTCTCTGCCAGGGTCTGGGCTCCAGCCGTGGCGGGTGGAAAGGTGGATCAGGGACCGGTTGCCTTTTCAGAGGAGGCCGGTGCCAGGGCAGGGGCTAAGCGCCTTTGCTGGGTTGGGAGGCAAAGAAGCTCCCCCCCCCTCCTCCTCCTCCTCCTCCTCCTGGGATGACTCAGCTGGGAAACATTTGGGCTTTCCCCTTCCTTGGTGTGCAAGCCTTGTGCTGCGGTCCTCCTTCCAGCAGAGGGGCTGGGTGCAGCCCGCCTCCCTGGCTCGGCCTCTCTCCCTCCCTCTGTCTCCTGCCTTCTCTGACGCTGCTTGCGAGGAAGCCAGGTCCACCCCCCCAACCCCCCCCCGGGTTAAAGAGTCCTTCCTGTTTGGCCGGCCAGGCCCTCCTCGGCAGGCAGCCTCTTCCCTTCCCGGCTGGCGGCCCAGAGAGCGGCAGGGGCAGCAGCTGTGCGAGATCCTCCCGGCCCTCTGGCCACTGGCCGCCCGCCTGCTCCCTCCCCCTCCCTGCCTCTGTCCGCCGGTCCTGGGTGGGCGGCTGGCGAACAACCTCCCGTGTGATTGGTGTCCCGCTTTTGTCTCTTTCCTCCCGGCAGCCAATTGAGCCCGGGGATGAGCTCCTGGTCTGGTACAATGGGGAGGAGAACCCGGAGATAGCAGCTGCCCTGGAGGAAGAGAGGGCCAGCCACCGCAGCAAGAGGCACTCCCCCAAGGCCAAGAAAGGTAAGGGCCTCCTCCTCCTCCGCCCCCCCCTCCCCCCCTCCATCGGCTGCCCTCCTCGGGTGGGCCGGCTGACTGACACTCTCCACTTCCTCCCCTCCCTCCCTCCCTCTGTGTCCGCCTTCCGCCTGCCTGCTTCTGTTTGTGAGATCAAGAATGGCTCGGCTAGCTCACTCGATGCTGCTTCCTTGTTCAGCCAGCTCTCGGGCTCGGCTGCCCCTGGGTTTGCCCTCCCAGCCGGGCTTCCTCCCCTCCCCTCCGCTCTGCCCCTCCCTGGACCCCCCAGGACGCTGCCCCCCCATCCCTTCTCCCCTGGCACCCTTAAAACAAGGAGTGGGTTCCTGGGCGGCTCTTGTAACGCCACCCGTGGGGAAGGGAGCTCCAGGCATTCCCTGGCTGACGTTCCCCCCCAGGCCTCCCTCTGGCCCCACGGAGGATCCCAGATTCAGGGTGCAAGTGAGATTTCAGTGCCTGGCAAAGTCCAAGGGCCAGATTTGCACAGGTTGTGTGGTGAGGATCCCATTTCAGGAGGGTGTTGAAATTTGGGCAGTGAATCATCGGGCTCTCATCCTTGATCCCAGCGGATCTGCTCTCAGCGCTGCCCTCCGGAAAACCTCTCCTGCCTTTCTTCCCAGGGAGACGCTTTTCGCAGTGCTGTGAGGCTGCCGGGGATCCCGAGGGCAAAAATTGCCACGCGTTGATGGGGCAGTGCAAGAAAGAGGGAGGGGGGCATAATGTTGAGGACACAGTCTAGTTGATTTTGGGGGTGTGTGTGAAAAGTCAGGGAAGGCAAAAAGAATGAAACTGCAGCGTGCTGTTTTTGCAAGGACTTTTCTAAAACCTCATAGCAGAGAAAGAGAGAAGTCAACATTCTTAGGATATCCCACTTCTTGTTCATTTTCAAACCTTGTTTTGTGCAGTGGCTGAAATCTCAGGGTTCCTGGGTGCTCACCGCCGGTTCTGACCGGGGCTCCAGCACATCGGTATTGCAATGCCAGAGCCTGCGCCAGGCCGCCGTGCAGCGCCCGGGGGGGGGCTCCTGCGTTCTCCCAGGGCCTGGTGGACCTGGAGGGACTGCCTTAGTCGCTCAGATAAGCGGAGGGGTTTTCTTAGCGATGCTCCAGCCTTTCTAAGGCAGTTTTCAAGGTTCTTTGTAGGAGAAACCAAAAAGTCCTGCCGGATAAAAAGACGGTTTACAAGACAGCCGGATTGGGCTGATCTGTCCTGGGAAGAGAGGCGGCTGAATCTCTCGGCTGCCCCAGCCGCCTCTCATCAAACCTCGGTCGCCGGGTCGGACCGGGTCGGGCTCCGGCAGAGGCCGGCCGAGGAATGAAGCGGCCGTTTCTGCAAAAGGGAGGAAACAGTTTCTGTTGTTTCTTTGCCGGGACTCAGCTGTGTGCCCAGCCTAACACAGGGCGTCCAGAACAGCCGACCGGCTGTGACTGACCCCCGAGTCCGTTGTTTTATCCGAGTTGGACGGCCTGAATTCATCCCTGTTTCCTCACGAGTAAGTGGGACTTGTTCTCAGAAGAGTCTTGGCGCAGTGGTAACTTAAGAGCTGAGTGCGAGGGAGCACTGCAGAATTGGTGGCCTCAGGAAGGTTTTAAACTGAGTGCGGCCTTGATAAAAGCCCCCCCCCAAACCAAAGCAGGCAGGAGGGGAGGGGAGCGAGGGTTACACGCAGTGTCGCTTACCAGAGAAAACTGGGCTGGCATCTCTGGCTACTGCCTTCACCCCTCCTGCACACCCGCAGGCCGATGCCAAGGGCTTGTTTTATGAGGAGTGTCTTTTTGGAAAGGATCTTCCAAATCTTCTAAACTGATTATTTGGTGGAATTCTGTTGTGTCCGGGGGGGGGGGGGGAGGGAAGCGTTGCCTCTCATTCGCTTTTTTATGCAGGGCTTCCCCCAAGGGGAAGATGGGGAGGCTGCTTAGCTCTTCTCATAAATTTGGTTTTCTTCTTTTGAAATCATATATTTTTTTAAAAAAAAAACGGGCTTTGGAATCCCAGAATGGCACAAATAAAATAAAATAAAATAAACCCCTGTTCTGCTGCTCTTCCCTATCTTGAGTCTCCAGTCTGAAGTGAACATTTCCAAACAAGGATAAGGAAATTTCACAGTAATTAGGGCCTTGTCTTCAATAATTCCAGTTTTTCCTACTTTTCCCCGGAGTGTATCTTTGTACCTCGGGCAGTTTTAAACTACAGCAGGCAGGAACCACAGTTGATATACAACAATCCCTTCTTCTTCTTCATCATCTTCATCACCACAACTAGTGCTCCTGAAGTTAGCCTGGCTGAGGAGATGCTTGTTGTTGCATCTTTGTGATTGCATCGACACAGTTTGTGCAGCCCGGCTGGAGGTGCTGCAACGAGAAAGAGGGAGAGAGAGAGAGAAAGAGAGAGAGAGAGAGAGAGAGAGAGAGAGAGAGAGAGAGAGAGAGACCTTCTGCTTGCTCCTTGGACTCTGATCGAGTGGATCTAAAATTACATTTGCTCTCAAGTTGTCATTCTGGCTGTTTTTAGTAAGCAGAGCAGCTGCTGGCTAAATCGACGAGGCGGTGAGGGTTAAACCCACATTAAGGTCACCCGCGCTGAATGCCAGAACGGCTGCTTGAAGGGCCGGGGGGGGGGGTCCTCCCTTGCAGGTGCTGGGTCCTCCCTCCCTGGTGCAGCTGTTGAGCCTCCCCCTGGCCCTGTGCTCTACAAACTCTGGGGAAGATTCAGGTTGCGCGTTGCGTTGAACCCTGGATGGGCTGCGCTGGGCGGCCCTCAGCACAGTCTCGGTGTCTGGGCCCCTGGCAGAGCCGGGCCCTGGACGGTTCCGTGAAAGGAGCCCCAGGAAGCCTTCCCGGTGCTTTGCTCGCAGGCCGGAGGAGGGGGAGGGCTCGTGGGAGGTGGGCTTCTGAAGGAGAGCCACAGGGCCCCTCAGGGGTTTGGGAGATGCAGACCCTCCTGTCCGTGCTCGGCCCTCCCAGAGGTGAAGCTCTGAGAAAGCTCTGGCCGAGCCTTCGGGGTGGTGGGTGCCTCCTGCGCCACAGGTTCTTGGCAGCACCGAACGTGGCCACATTTGGGTGCTTGGCGGGAGGGGGGAGGGGGGGCGTGCAGAAAGAAGCACTACATTTAAACATCAAGCTCTTCCTTTCCTTTTCTTCTTAGCGAAGAAAAAAACCCGGGAGGCCCAGAACAAAGGAAAGAAGGCCAGGGACAGGAAGCGGAAGCCTCCTTTGGAAGGTCTCGACATGAGGGAGACTAAGGAAGGTAGGGGAGGGGGGTGTCTGCCCTTCCTTCTTCTTCAGGGGCTCTTGGGGGGAGGGCAGCTGAAATGGGGTGGGTGGGTTGCAGAATCGCTCAGCACACAAGCGGGCAGGGTCGGCGTCTGAAGGCTTGCAAAGCACCGAGTCCTTTGCAGTGCAAAAGAAAGGAAAACGCGGCCCGACCAGCCCAGACCTGGCCGTAGAATTAGCCCCACAGGGATTGAAAGGGGCCACAGAGGGACCTGCTCAGAAGGGGGGGGCTCAGGGCCATTGGGTGCTGTATTGGGGGGAGGGGAAGCAGGCTCTTATTTAATTGGAGCTAGAAGTGTATTTTTGTAATAAATAATTTTATTGAGGGAGTTTTGCTTTTAAAGGGGCAATCCACCTACAGTAGTTGTGGCTTGCAAAAGCAAAGCCCCCCACCCCAGACTTTGGGGGCAATACAGGGGGAGTGTTCTGGGGTTCTCCCTTTATTGTATTTATTTTATTGGTTTGTAAAATTTATTGGCTTTCCATCTCCGCTCAGCGTAACTTCCTTTGCCTCCATTTCTCAGGCCAGAAGCCAGAGGACGAAGCCCCAACGGTTTCGGCGGTGTTGCCCCTTGACCAGGCCGCCGTCATCCAGGAGATGGTGAATCAAGACGCGCTTCCCAGCCTGCTCATCTCCAGCGTGGCCTGTGTGCCGCCCGCCAGGCCTGAGGACAAGCCGGAGGTCCTCCTGGGTGGAGCAGAAGGTTCAGAGGAGGATCCTGAGCAGCAGCAGCAGCAGGAGGAGGAGGAGCCCGTGGAAGAAGCGGAAGAGGACGAGGAAGAGCCTCAGGAGGGGGAGGAAGAGGAGGAGGAGGAGGAGGAAGAGGAAGAGGAGGAGAGCTTAGCGAAAGAAAACCCAGAGGTGGAATCCAGGTGGGGCTGTGGGGACAGGCTGGAGTCTGTGGAGGAGCAGAGCAGCCTCTCCGAGGACTCGGCCGGAAGCTCCCCCAAGAAAAAGCACCTGGGGAAGGCTCCCAAGGCCAGGGGGGAGCCCAGCACCCAGGGGGCGCCCATGTTCCCCTGCCAGCACTGCGAAAGGAAGTTCACCACCAAGCAGGGCCTGGAGCGCCATGTGCACATCCACATCTCGGCCATCAGCCACGCCTTCAAGTGCCGCTACTGCGGCAAGGCCTTCGGCACGCAGATCAACCGCCGGCGCCACGAGCGGCGCCACGAGGCCGGGCCCAGACGGAAGCTGCTCTCGCCCTTGGCCTCCACCCAGCTGCCCGGGGCCAGCACCGCGGCTGCCGAGGGGTGTGTGCAGAGCGAAGCCAGGGCCAGGCAGGAGGTCCCCGTCCCGGAGGCCGAGAGAGACACTTCCAAAACGCCGCCCCCTCCGCTGCCTTTGGAGGAGAGCAAGGAGCCCAAGGAATTGCACCCGTGCCAGTACTGCAGGAAGGTCTTCGGCACCCACACCAACATGCGCAGGCACCAGCGGAGGGTCCACGAGCGGCACCTCATCCCCAAAGGGGTCAGGAGAAAACCGGAGGAGCTCCAGGCTCCCGTGGGCCCGGCCCAACAGGCCCCCATCACATACCTGGCCAGCACAGACCTGGAGGAGGAGGAGGGGGAGGGGGAGGGGGAGGCCGACGACCTCATGGACGTCTCCAGCAACATCTCGGAGAATCTCAACTACTACATCGACGGCAAGATCCCGTCCAACAGCAGCACCAGCAACTGTGAGGTGATCGAGGTGGAGCCTGGCGCCGCCGAAGTCTATGGCATCAACTGCCTGCTGAGTCCCGTCACGGTGGAGATCTCCCCCAATGTCAAGGCGGTGCCGGTGCACCTAGTGGAGGAGTCAAAGGAGCCCCCTGTTGGCGGGACCCCCGAGGCCAAAAAGAGGAGGACGGCGAGCCCCCCGCTGCTGGCCAAGGTAAAGACCGAAATGGATCCGGAGCCCATCACCTCGCTGTGTTCCTTGACGATTCCCCTCGCCATATCGACCGTGGAGAGCCTGCCCTTCCCCAGAGAGAAAAGCGTGTATTTATCCTCCAAGCTGAAGCAGCTTCTTCAGACACAGGACAACAATAAGGTGGTCCCCTCCCCACCATTGCCGGTGGGGGAGATCCCAAAGCTGGGGCTCCCCGTGGCCTCCTCCCCTCTCCTCCCGGCCACCTCGAGCAGGTTCAAGCGGCGCACCAGTTCCCCGCAGCACAGTCCGGGCCTTCGAGACCCTGGCAAAGCCGGCGAAGCCAAGCCCGCTTGGAATGAGACGGCCCTGAGTGCGAAGGCTCCCAAGCTGGAGAGACGGAGCAACTCCCCCGCGTGGAGCCTGCCTGGGAGAGAAGAAAGGGAACCGCTGAGTCCAGAAGAGTACAAGGCCTCCAGGGAGTGGGCGCCGAGCCCCCCCTTTGGGAATGTGTGCAACCAGCAGCCCTTGGACCTGTCCAGCAGCGTGAAGCAGCGGTCGAACGGGAAGAGCCGGGCCCAGGCGCCCTGGGAATCCGTGCTGGACCTCAGCGTGCACAAGAAGCCGTGCAGCGATGGCGAAGGCAAGGAGGCGACTCTGCCAGCAGGGGGCGCCGTTAAGAAGAAGCCCACCACCTCCATGTTGCAGAAGGTCCTGCTCAATGAATACAATGGGATGGATTTGGGGCCCGAAAACCCCTCCCCAGACATGAGCCCCAGGCCGAATGCCTGCAAGCCAGCCGAAGCCCCACAGCCGCAGCTTGGCCCGGCTCCCCCGGCCCCTGGGGCAGAGTTGGGCTGCTCTGGCCTCACCGTCACCGAGGTGCCTTTGCCGCCACCCTCGTCCTGCCCAGAGCCATCGGCCTCTCCCTCCCATCACCCGTGCCCTCCCATGCTCCAGGCCCCCACGCCTCCCCCTACTCTCCTTCCCACTGTTCCTTTGCCCCTCCTGGAAGACCCCGGCAGCACCCCACCAAGCTCCTGCCCCTCTCCCCTGTCCAACGCCACAGCTCAGTCCCCGCTGCCCATCCTTTCCCCAACCGTCTCGGCCTCCCCCCTTCATTCTGTGGAGCCCCTTGGCTGCGCTTCCCCTGGGCCACCCACTCTCTCTTCGTCCTCGTCTTCCTCCTCCTCCCCCTCCTCCTCCTCTTCCTCCTCCTCCTCCTCCTCTTTCTCTTCCGCATCACCGTCCTCCTCTCCTTCCCCGCCTCCCCTCTCAGTGGTCTCCTCCATCCTGTCTCCTGGCGACCAGCTGGAGAATCCAGGCCCCCTGGTGACTTTCAAGCAAGAAGAGGGGGAGGCCGGGGGTCAGAGGCTGAGGGAGGACCCCCACCCCTGCAGCGCAGCAGAGGCTGCCCAGGAAACCTTCAGCAAGAGCTTTGTGTGCAACGTCTGCCAGGCCCCCTTCCTCGCTATCAAGGACCTCGCCCGGCATCTGTCCGTCCACGCTGGGGACTGGCCCTTCAAGTGCGAATTCTGCGTCCAGCTCTTCAGGGAGAAGGCAGCCTTGTCAGAGCACCGCTTCCTGCTCCACGGGGTGGGGAACATCTTCGCCTGCTCCGTCTGCAAGAAGGAATTTGCTTTCCTATGCAACCTCCAGCAGCACCAGCGAGACCTGCACCCCAACAAAGAATGCAGCCACCACCAGTTCGAGAGCGGGACTCTGCGCCCGGAGAATTTCACCGATCCCAGCAAAGCCAGCGCAGAGGAGATGCAGAGCCTGCCCGGCACTGCCTTGCAGCCCTCCAAGGAGGAGGAGGAGGAGGAGGAGGAGGAGCTGAACGACTCTTCCGAAGAGCTCTACACCACCATCAAAATCATGGCGGCCGGGGTCAAGCCGAAGGACCCCGACGTCCGCATGGGCCTCAACCAGCACTACCCCAGTTTCAAGCCCCCCCCATTCCAGTACCACCACCGGAACCCCAATGGCATCGGAGCCACGGCCACGAACTTCACCACCCACAACATCCCCCAGACCTTCTCCACCGCCATCCGCTGCACCAAGTGCGGGAAGAGCGTGGACAACATGCCCGAACTGCACAAGCACATCTTGGCTTGCGCATCTGCCAACGACAAAAAGCGGTACACCCCGAAAAAGAACCCCGTGCCCCTGAAGCAGGCCGTGCGCCCTAAAAACGGGGTGGTCTTGCCCAGTCCAGCCGGCAGCGCCTTCCGGCGCGTGGGCCAGCCCAAGAAGCTCGATTTCGGCCTGGAGGCCAGCCGGGCGGCCTCCAACAAGCTGAAGCTCAGCGCCCTGAAGAAGAAGCAGCAGCTGGTCCAGAGGGCCATTCTGCAGAAGAAGAAGTCGCAGCAGCAGCAGCAGCAGCGGGCGGAGCTCAAGACCGGCGGCCCGGAGCCCAGCACCCACATCTGCCCGTTCTGTGGCCGGGGGTTCACCTACATCGGGAGCCTGAACAAGCACGCCTCCTACAGCTGCCCCCGGAAGCGCCACTCCTCCTCCTCCTCCTCCTCCTCCTCCTCCTCCTCCTCCAAGAAGGAGAAGAAGAAGAAGGCCAAGACGAAAGCGGGGGGCTCGTCTCCTGGCAGCAGCAAGAGTGGCACCAACCCCCGTCGCCGAACAGCCGACGCCGAGATCAAGATGCAGGGCACTGCTGCTCAGCTGGGCAAGACTCGCACCCGCAGCTCGGGGCCCACAGCCGCCCAGATGCCCTCCGCCTCCTTCAAGCTGAAGCAGGGCGCCAAGTTCCCCAAAAGGGGCCACCCTCCTTCGGCCGCAGCCAGGAGCGTGGGCCCGGTGAGAGTGGGCAAGGGGGCTCCGCCGGAGGGGAAGCGGAGCAAGGGGGCCGCCAGGAGCGCGGGGGGGCCTGGACTGCTGGGCAAAGCCTCACGCAAGCTGCACATCCGCATCCAGCGCGGCAAGGCAGCCCTGACCAGCCAGAGGAAGACCGCTGACCGGTTCAGTGCCAAGTCAAGGGAGAGGGTGGGGGGCCCTGTCACCCGGAGCCTGCAGCAGCAGCAGGCCACGTCTGCGGAGGCCACGGAGAGCAAGAGGGAGGAGAGCGCTGCCCGGCCGGAGCTGAAGGACACCAGGTGAGCTCTTCCAGTGGGGCTCCAGACGGGCTAGGTGCTCCTCCGGTCTCGGGAGGGGGAAGGTGGGTTCCACCTTGACTGGGGGAGGAGGGGAGCACCAGAAAGGCCCCCCCCGGAGCTGCTTCATGAGAGGGGCTGGGAGGTGGGCACAGCCAAGGAGGGGTCTTCTGGCCAGTGAGGCCCTCGGGGCAGATCCCTCTCAGCGGGGGGAGGGGCCTCCCTGCACCGGGTCTCACACACAGCCCAGCTGGGGTTCCCCTGGTTGGGGGGCTTCGCCCAGTTTGCGTTGAAGTGGCCTGGTTCACACAACGCCAGAGCCAGAGTACCGCGATGGCTGGTCTGGAGACCTGGCCGATGAGTGCAAAAGAGGCCATGCCAAGCATCGTGCCACCCCCCACCTTGGTCTTTTCTTGGTCATCACCCGTGGCTGCTTGCTTGTCCCTGGCCTTCTCCTGCCCTGTTGTGCCCGAGGCCTTCTCGCCATTGTGGGTCCTTGGCTGACGCAGCCCCCTGCAAATGGCAGCCTTAAAAAGCTGATTTCTCAGCCTGGAGCTGCCCGTCCTCAGTGGGTTCCCGTCCTCGTTAATGCTGGACTTGGCACGAGCCGTCCGTGGCTCTCCTGATCCAAGCAGGGCATCGTCCGACTGCCAAACGGGGGGGGGGGGGGGAGAAAGCTTGTTCTCCTCATCCATCGTCTCTCTTTGCTTCCCCCCTTTTTCCACATCACATCCTTTGCTTTCTCCCCTGCAGGAGCCTCCTTTGAGAAGACGAACCCCCCAAATGTGTAAATGAGACTTTCCTGGTCAGGGGCTCGGCCCGCCTGATGTCCGGCACTGCAGCAGCCACTGGAGAGCAGAGGCTCCGGCCTCCCAGAGGCAGAAGCGAGGATGCAGCGGGTTGTTGCTGATGGGTTCGCCCCAGAGCCGGCCTCGGTTGCCCCCCCACCGAGCCAAGCCCAGCGATTCTTAGCTACAGGGACAAGACACCCCCCCCCCAGGCATGCGGTTGCTCCTCTCCTCGCCTGCCCCCCCCCCCCCGGCAGCCCTGGGATTTTTACAAAGGACTTGGTCAAGCTCTTCGGGAGCAAATTCAACCCTTGGGCTTCTTGCTTGGGCACCTGGCTTTACCTGGCGCAGATAAAAACTCAGCCGGGGGGGGGGGGGCTTGCCAAACCTGCTGGGAGCAACGCTCATCAGAGGGCCCCCAGCGAGTATCAGGGATGACAGACTGTTCACACGGCACCTAAAGTAAGTTTTGGTCACCCAGTCTGCGAAGGCCTTTGTGTCACGCCAGCCAGTACGAAAAGACCGCCAGGGACCCTGTTCCCTCTTCTCCTCAGCCTCTCCGCCGCCTCTTCCCCGCCGGGTTTGGTGCCAGTCGCTGCTTTTCACCCCCTGGGGGAGCAGGAGGGACGTCGGTGGGTCAAAGGTTTCCCTGTCCCAAATTCCCCTGGGCTGGACGAGACGTGGGCAGTTTGTGGTGAAGGACCAGCTCCTCGCAGAAGACGGTGCAGCCCCCAAGAGACGCCCTACATCCAGGGGGGGGGCTGGCAGCAGAGGGGGCAAGAGCCCCCCCCCTTTCTCCTTGTTGTAAAGCAGAACTGAATCTCCCCCACCTCTTTTCCCAGAGAGGCGGCTCCTTTTTCTCCAACCTCGCCTTTCCATTTGGGTGAACAGCAGTTGCTTCATTTGACTCCCCCACCCCCATTTTTCAAAACTATTTTTCCTTGACTTAAAAAAGAAAAGTGATCTACCTCTTAAAATTTGAAGTTTTGATATTGTTTTGGTGACTTCATGCCTCTTGCTATCATTCCCTTTTATCTATCTGTCTTTTGGTTGCGTTTCTTTCTCTTGACTTATGGGGGACATCAACACCCAACAGTTGTATAAAGCATTCGTAGCAACTTTGGAAAGGGGGGATAAAATATTTAAAATTATTTAAATTGTTTTTGACACTTCAGTTGTATTATATGTGATTTGCATTTTACATTTGTTTATGTGGGAGAGAGGAGAGGGTCTTTCACCTGAAGATGGTATTAAAGTTTGCTGTTCTGTAGTTCATTTCCCCCCCCCTTTTTTTTTTCTTGTTGGAGAGTGATGCAAAGGCTATTCTATTAAAACATTAAAATTTCCAATTTGCCATACAAAACAAAAAGTTTGTCATTGTTTTGGGCAGGATACGAATTGGCAGCCAGCCTTGTGGAAAGGAGGCCCAGGCCGGCCGTTGCCAGCTGCCCACTGAAAAGAGGAGGGTCAGGGTCAGCCATGCAGCCCCTCACATTCAGCAGGGAAAGGGGCTCCCCAGCTCCTTCGCTGTCCAGTGAGGAGGCTCTCCTGGGGGGGGGGGGAGAGAAGGCGATGCGGAGGGAAGAACTGACTCACCTTCCATTCCAGACAGCCGGCTGACGAGGCTCTTCTTCCTCAAGGCAGATCTGACTTCGGTGCCAGATGGTCCCTCTGCAGAAAGTGGGGTGGGGGTTCCCTTCCCTTCCTCACAGGCTGGTTCGGCCTCGGAGGCAGGAGAGCTGAACCTGGAAGCCTCGCAGTGAACTTGCAGTTGTGCTGATCCCAAGGGGAACGGGAGGGCAAGGCTGGAAAAGAGGCACACACAGATTCAGTCTGCGGGAAGATCTGGAAACCCGCAGGAGAACATCTGGACGCCTCTAAGTTCAGACTTGTATCAGGAGAACCGTGCTTTCCATCCATTTCGCCTGGCTCTGCTCAGATCTCCCCTTCCAAACCAGACACAGACAGCGATCAGGAGAGGCCGAACCTGGCAAGGAAAGAGAAGGCATCGGAGGGGCTGACCTGGGGAGGGGTAGAAAAAATTGCACTTTTCGTGTAGCCAAAGGGGCGTCGCAATGACCTAAAGACCCAAGGGCCCCATCATCATCACCATCATATCAGGTGTCAGGAGGGGTAGGGTTTTTTTTGGGGGGGGGCAGATTCCAGGTAGATGTTAACGAGATGCTTCTGAAGACGATGGAGACCGGACAGCCCTTCCCTGCTTTGATTTGGGGTTTCTGCCTCGAGCGAAGGCTGGATTGGGGGGGGAGGTGTCTCAACTCCTTTGGTCCAACGATTCCAGGCTTGACTTTGCAGATGGATGTACCCGCAACATTTGGCCGCTTCCACGTCAGCAGCGGAGGGTCCACCTGTGTTTACTAGCAAAAAATTGTCTTTTCTCTGGAATCCAGGATACTGAGCTCCCATCAGCTGCTAGACCCCTAGACCCCAGCTAGCCCTGCCCTTGAAGTGCTCTCTCTCCGCTCCGGTTTAAGAGGGGGGCGGATGGGGGCAGGAGGGCATGGCCCCGGTGACGATGGGGGTCTTGGAGGGCCGGGGACCACTTCGCCTCCCCTCCCGTGTTCAGGAGGGTGTTTTGCGCGACCAGCCTGGGAGGAGAGACTGCAGGAGGGCGACGTCAGCAGTGATGCGCCTTAGCCCCTCCCCTCTTTCAGCCCAGGGAGGGAGGGAGGGAGGACAGCAGACTGCCGGAGTGGAGACGAGACTGGACCGCTGGAGGAGGAGGAGGAGGAGGGTGCCGGGCGAGGGGCTCAGCTGCAAAGCTTGAAAGGGGGACCGACTGAGAGGACCAGAGAGATGCATTAGGTAAGCGGGGGGGGGCGGAGGGGGGAGGAGGAGGAGGAGGCTTCCCCCCCCCCTTTATATCAGGCTCCATCCCAAACGGTCAGCCACCACCACCATCCTGATGGGCACCATTCGGTCTCAGCAAGGATTCCTAAAAGCAATTCCTGGGAACCAGACCCCGGAGGACGCTGGCCGGCTTCCTGAGGCTGTTGGACGGGGCGGTGGGGTTGGTTGGTTTGCTGGCTCTGCCAGAGGAGCCCTGGAGGGGAAGGGTCCTGCAAGGCTTCTTCACGAGAGAAGAGTTGGTCTCCTGACGGGGGGGGGGGAATCGCCAAGTTTTCCCAAGAAGGAAAAAAATAGTTTGACTGGGTCATCCGGGAGCTTCTGAAATTGACCCAAGCGCTGAGGAAGACACGTCTCTGGGGCTTGGGGGGGTCTCTCACTCTCAGGTCAGAGATGAACTTGCCCCCCCCAGGGTGGTTGATCTCCGGCCCACTTGCTTCCCCAGAGAGGAGGAGGAGGAGGGGGGAACACCTGGCCCTCGGAAGAGTCCCCACAACTAAGCCAGGAGACCTGCCAAAGCCATGGAGGCCTCGTCTGTGGACACCCCCAGTCCGGTCACCTTCTCACAAGTCTTTGGTCATCAGTGTCAACTTCTGGAGGCAGGTAAGAGGGGTGGGGGTGTGGTGGTGGGGTGTCTCTCCTGCTGCAAAGCCCTGGACAAGGAATGAGCTCTCCGAGAGGAGCATTACGGAAGTCCCAGGTCTGGGGGAAATGCTGGTTCAGAGGTGGAGGTGGGCCAACCAAAACATTCTCCACGAAAACAGGGCAGAGATGAATGACACCCACAGACACTCTTGTCGATCTGCCTTGTTGTGCAGGATCTCACACTGAGGCGTGTTCAAAATCAGGGTGGCCACTGGATGCAAGAACTGCGACTTCACCCGTGCAACCGCTCAGAGATGGGGACTTGTTTTGTTTAAGGAAGGCTGGTTGTGTTACGAGGGACCGAGAGCGGATATGAGCCAAAAGGAGTGGTGGCGGCTGCTGCTGCTGCTGCTGCTGTTGTTGTTGTTGTAGCTGTTGTTCAAGCTCCTTTTCTGTCCTTGCCGAGGGCCCTGAACCAGCCAGGAGATTTCTGGGTTCTGTCCTTCTAGGTGGGAAGGACGTTGTGGATCATCCGTCCCATACTGCTGGGCATGTAGGCTGATGGGAACTGAAGTCCAACAGACTGGAGGATCCAGGCCTATAATGTTGCTGGTTCAAGTCCCTCCAAGCTCACCTCCTCCTAGTCGCTCCAGAGGGGACGACAGGCTCAGTTTCCTGGGCGACCCAGCAGGATGCTGGTCTAAGCTGGGCCGATCTTTTCAGGGGGATCTGGGAGAGGCAACTGGGAATCCCAGTTTGGCTCCGGCTTCCTCTGAGGCCTGTTGTCACTCCTTGCTCTCACCCAGCTGGTTCCTGCTCAAGGTTCAAATCATGGCACATCCAGATGCAGGGCTAGGCTGTCCCTTCCATTTTAGTCTGTCTGACTGCTCTGCAAAGGAGGGGAAATGGGGAGCAGGATAACGTAGCCTGAAATGAAGAATTGACCAAACGGGCCTGTGTGTGTGTGTGTGTGTGTGTGTGTGTGTGTAAGAGATCCTTTCAGGGGGAACCCAGTCCTCCCTCCACTCTTCTTGAAACGTGGGGTCCCTGCTCCTGGCCCAGCGGCTCTTACCATGAAGACGCTGCTCCTTGTGTTTACTCCACTGTGCTCCCCCGGCCGATCGATGGCTCCCCTGCAAAATGGGCCCCAGGAGGGCTCCCTCCGCAGGGTGGCAAAGAGACGCCTCTTCCCTCCGTTTCTCTAGCAGCATCCCAGTAGGGAGCCAGGCTGCCGTTCTGGCCTGGCTGAGGAGGAATGGAGGGAAAGGGGAGGCCGGCCGGCACCTCTGGCAGGGAAGCCGCTCTGTGCTTTGGCTCCGACAGAGGCGAGCGCTCGGCTGTCTTCTGAGTTCCAGCTCCTGCTCAAATGCAGCCCCCTCCAGGGCAGCTGAGTTGGCTCAGGCGGAGGCAGCCGTGCTAAGCGTGGCTGGCCCTGTGGACCCGAAAGAGGGTCTCTCACACACCCCCTCGCTCGAGAGGAACGGGCGCAAGGCACTTGTGGCCTCAAGGGGCCATTTTTGTTTCCTGAACATGGAGAGCAACGTTGGTGTTTCTGTTGCTGCTCAACGCCCGAACCCGCCAGGGGGATGCCCACCACGGCCTTCCTTTGGAGGCTTTGGCCCCTTCCCCTTGACTGGCCATGCAGCCGCTTGGCCCCTAGATGAAGCTTTCTCCCCCCCCAGGGGGAAGCCAGGGAGGCCGGAGAGGGACCTGTCAACGGCACGGCTCCCTCGTCCCGGCCCCAGAGAAAGAGCCGAAGGGGGCTCAGCAGAGACTTGCCTTTTTTTTTCTTTTTTTTTCCCCCTTATGCTGTTTTATTTTCGGGAGGGCAACCGTGAGTTGGCGGAACAGAAAGCTGCCAGGCCGGCCGGCACGTGCCGATTCAGAAGAGGCCTGTGTGGAGCTGGCTGCTTTCCTGACTGCCTTCCTGTGGCTCAGCCCCTCCGTCTCCCTGGCTGGAAGAGTCGGTGGGGCCGGCCGAGAAGATGCCGTGGGCGGGTCAGCCAGGGTGTGGCTGGCCTGGAAGAGGGAGCCAGTCGGGTCAGAAGGCGATTGCTAGAAGGGCCCTTTGCCACCCCTGGTCTTTCACGGCAGGCGGACGGTACCGAAAGCAGATGGCTGCAGAAAAAGGGTTTCCCGGGACCCTGGGCTGTTATTTGAAAAAACAGAATTAGTGGGTTTGTTTCAGGACTTAGACAAAACCTCACTTTTCCCCTGCTTTGTTTAAAAGTGGTCTGCCTCGTCTTCAGCTACATCACGACACAAATGCAGTCAGCAATGAAAAATACTTGACAATGACCTTTTTTTTAACCAGCATAGATTCCTAAATGAATAAGTGTTTCTTTTGCTAATACAAGCTATAAGAAAAATCCTTTGCCTCCCTTCCTGTTCCCGTGGTGGGCGAAGGCACCTGAGGGAGGCTTCAGCAGAAGGCCTTGCAAGGCCAGGGCAGGCTTGGATTCGCACGTGCTGAACAGGCAAAGGAGAGCCGGTGTTTGCGTTAACTCAGCGGTCGCTGCAGCCGCAAAGTCTTGACTGCCTGACTCCTGCCTTTCCCTGTAAAGATCAAGGCGTCCTGCTTCGCAGTCTTGCAGGGAGCTTTGGGGGAGAGATATTTGGAACGTAGAGTAATAGGATTGGATGTACTTGCAGTCAAAAGAACCAGCCAGGATCAGAGGGAAAGATCCTCCTGTGCACTTGAAGGAAAAACACAGACTTGCTGTTGGCCAAACCACTTTCCCAAGAGACTCTGGAGGGGAAGCGCAGGCCAGACCCACGTACAGCTCTTCTGCCCTGATCGTCTCCCGGATACTGATAAGGTCTGGGACGCGGCTTTTTCCAGTGGGGCAGGGGAGAGGCCAGGGAGCGCCAGGAGGGGGAGGCAGAGGCTGCCTGGAAGAAGCCCCGATCCCTTCTGGCCTTACAAAGGGAAAAAAGACTTCTGGTCTGAAGGGACAACCTGTCCGTCTGCCAGGTGAATTCTTGGTTTTTTCTGAATTCAAGCGGTGACCAGAAATGCATTTCCTCTCTGCAGCAAGACAGCTGCTAAAGTTGGCCCTTTACTCCAGAGGGCCAGTTCTCCCTCATTTACACGGGAGGCGGGCAAGATCCTTCGCCAAGGGGCTCTTCTTCCTGTTTTAAGGAGGAAAGTTCTCCCACTGGTCAAGGACGTGAAGATCTGAAACTGTCACCTGCCTTCCGTGCTCTTTCCCTTGGATAGGACCATTAAGCCTTCTCAGCCCCCTTGGTGGAGGGGTTAGGGTTAGGGTGCACGATATGGAGGGTTCTGCTGGGTTCCCTCCCCCCAGCT